CCAGAATAATTTCACGCGAGTCGGGAGCCCAAACACCGCAACTGACAGTAATAGGAAATGAACTAGACCATATCCTCTGACCCGTGGCAGAACCAATCAAAACAAAATTGTCTTCATAACAAATAAGTGCCGATGAACCATTTGGGCTCCAGCTTACACCGCGAACCTAAGATTGCATTTAGTATAGTCAGTTATCGCGCCTTTCATATTTTATTTTTGTTAATATTCATGAAAGTAAGTGAGGGTTCCTGCAGATGTCAATAGTATGATAAAATGAACGCAAAAAACTTTGCAAAATACAAATTATTTCACACCCAAATTTTAACTATCTTATATACTCAACAAAATAGCTCTTTCACCAACCTTAATACCACGATCGTTTACCAATTCTACACTCCATCTTTCTTCATTCGGTACCCAAACATAGATTATTCCCGAACTATCGCAGCTTGCTAATTTCATCTGCTCTTTGTTCCATGCTACTATATTTACTGTTGTATGGTGACCGCGAAGATTAAAATTAACTCTTCTATTATCGTCTCGTAATGGACAAGCTTCTGTTGCTGTCACCCCCACTGCTCCCGATTCTGATCCTGAAAAAGAAACAAGCAGAATTTAAGGTAACGTACAAAATTGTGAAACGCGTAGCACGCTTAAAAATAAGACTAATAGTTTATTTCCGTTGAAAAAAAAACATTAGGACAAGCAACAGAAATTAGAAAATATCAAACCTTCTCCTCAAGAGATTACATGCACTATAAGTTGAATAGCACTTATATCATTATGGTTGATAACGATGATAGAGCCAGGTATTAAATCAAATTACAGCATGTACATCAACTGAAAGAGCTTACCGGTAGCTAAGAGGCCAGTGTCGGCATTGTTGCCGTTAGGTATCCAGTTCAAGCAAGTAATACTCGAATCAACAACACAGCCAGGCCAGTCGTCACTTTCCCAAATGATCTTCATGCACTGTACGTATATATAGTTCACCTTTCTCTCACAATCGACCTTTTGATTATTATTTATCTCAATCTTAAAAATAGCCTTTTGTGATATGTTGAAATGTTGTTAGTGACAGCAAGTAAAATGTAACAAAGCTGTCATGTCTGAAACTGATTAGTGAACTAGGATAGCTAATCTCACCGAGGTTATACCTGAATAACTTGATTATGTCCGTTAATAATATTTGTTGAGAGTGTAATACTGCTTTGTGTGTAACGAATTACGAGAATTTAATGCTAAAATTAAATAAATACAAAAAGACCTCAATTACTCTGCAAATGACATACTAATTCTCTAACCGATATTTATATCACACAGCGCAGCGGTTGTTTCGGCCGCAAAGCCGAGAATGGATGGCCACTGTGAAAAAGCTGAAATTACAATCAAATTATGTATCATTGACGCTTGCTTTCTAATTTGCCGAAGTATCATGAATTATAACCTGAGATTTATAGAAAGAGTACGGAGAAATTCCTGATATCGCGGAAATACGTAGTACCTACTGAGCGCAAACAATTTTTTAAAATTATTGGCGAATTAACAGAAGCACATGCTTTTCATTGTTCGCATCAAATTTCTTATGGAAATGAAAGGAAATGAATATTGTTAAAGATTCTCTTCCTGATAAATAAAACAAGCTAACGTTCTTAATTAGAAAAAAACTTTTTTGCCAAGAATTAAAGATGAATAGGAGAGGAAAAAAGAAGCAAGCGTACACCTATGGTAATGTTGAAAAGGCATCCTAAAATGAGTCAGCAGAGGGAAAATATTTCAATAAAATTCTGAAATTACAAACAATAGAGAAGGGTTAGAACGTGAGGGAAAAAAGATGGCAATGGCTGATGTTTGCGACCTTAAAAGTATGAATGTACTAAACCTGTTTTATAGTTTATTAATTATGGGTGCGCTTTCAAGTGGAAATTGTTAGTAATGTTTACTTCCAAATGACATTTTCCATCGTCTCTTTTAGTGTCAATGCAAAAACATAACGTTTTGTCAAGTGAGAAGATAATTCATATAACTTTTTGTCGGATGTAGTAGCAGCCACTCATTTGTCTTCCTGTACTGTTGCCGTTCTCTGAGTAATTATGTGATATCGGAGTGTGGAGTAATATAAACGTAGACAAGTTTTTTAAGTTCGAATAGAAATTAGGAAGTAACTGCTCAAATTTTGATCAGAATATCATTCATCGGGATGATTAAGGTTGTTTTATCATTATTATTGAAGTATTGATTAAACTTCTGTCGTTATTATAGAACCGTTGAGTAGTTATCCAAATGTAAAACTTCGGTTTCTCATTGTTGTCCAAGCATTTCATTACAATGCTAAACTGCTATGGCCTCGCAATATATTTTAAGCATTTTGGTGACTTCTCATTTTAGTACCTTAATATAAAATTAATTGAATTTAATCTAATTCATTTTTTTTACTTTACAGATCGATGGAACGAGTTGAATTTAATAGTTTCTGAAATTACGAGATTTAAAACTTGAATTATTAATAGATGGAGTGACTTATAGGAAGGGCACATGAAATTTCGCTAAATTTACGGCTGCAGTTTACACGCATATAATCTCAAAATATCGGCAAAACTAGATTTCAACATCAGTCAATCAATTTTTCTACAGATTTTCTCGCAATCAGTAATTTTGAACATTTTTAAATCAAAATTTATTGTATGAATTTTTCATTTTTACACTATTGTCAATTTTTTAAAGATGCTGATGATGACCCGAAATAACTCGTCACAGTGACTGAATAAGGAGAACCGAGTTGTTTTTATCTTTTATTCTTTTTAAATAACAATTACCCCTCATTAAATTCAGCCAAAAAGGAAGATAATCAGTACGTTGAAGAATCAGTTATCATCATTAAATCATGATTCATTTTCGTGACTGTAATGTAACTGTGATGAAAAAGCAATCATTGCGGTGGTCTCAGTCAACCACAGCAATCGCAATAACAAACTATATCGTAAGTGAAATTACGATTGCGTTACGATTTTAGCTGAATTTTATTAATTGCCACATTTTTATCACAATAACTAATTAACAAACGATGAAGATTGAAAACAGGCAATTTCTATATAAAATTTATAAAAAAACCACCATCTCATCAAAAGATGATTGGAAAGTTTAGAAAGAATCCAGAAAATGATTCGAAAATATGGAAGAACAAATAGCGTGAAAAAAGTGCAGGAGAAGCACCTAAGAATCGTAATTTTCTATTTGTTGAAGTTTATACTTCATGATTGAGAGGTTTTTTAATTTTTCAGTTTTTTAAATTCTCAAATGTTTCCAATTTCTGCAGTAACCAAATTTGAAATTTCAGGTACTCAAATATTTATTGGTAATTTACTGACTAATAAAATCAATTGATTTACCAATTGTTGTATTATTAAAATCGATGGAAAACCAGCCTCATGAACGCCGAAACCACAAAATAAACCATACCATAATTGGGTTGGTTGATCATAACGTTATTAAATAAGCATACGAAATGTTTTATTTTTTGTATTACATTCCAAATTTATTACGTGATTAGTTCTGATTGAGCATGGAAGAAAACAGCACGTTAAGGTACGAACAATATAAATTCTTTAAACTTTATTTATGCAAAACTGTAGATGCCTCATCCTAAATGCTATAAATTTTCTACATCTTTCGCAAATAAATAGCATTCATGAAGATAGGAATGAATGAATTTTACTGAGTCTCGTAAAATATTTGCTGTAGAAAAAAAGAGTCTTCCGGTAATATAATATCCAATATGTCCTATTCCATCGTGACTTTCAAAAATAAAATATAAAAGCAAAGACATACTTGCAACCTAATGACTAATTGATGATTGTGTTATTCCAATGATGTTTAACAGTTATTTTCAAATAGCTGATAACTTGAATATCTCTCGATTTAATAAAAAATAAGCATTGCTATCTTCACTAAGACATTTTCCGCACTCATTTAAAACTTTCCTTTTCTACAGTACCGATTTCTAATTATCCAGAAAACTTAAGCGAAAAACCCAATAAAAAGTTTATCTTTGAACATTCACACATTCAACAAGTTCATTTCAAGGAGTCTCATCAAACCACATATCTGAATACTTCTGCAACATGCAATGAATATTCCGGTATATTTTTTCTTATAAAGCACACAAATATTTATTAAAACCAAAATGCTAACAAAATCTTAAATGTAATAAAACCATTTTTTTAAAGTGTCAAACAAAGAAATAGCTTTCCCAAATCAACTTCTTGTACCACAGCGACATCGTTTACTATGTACCAAAAATAGGAACAAAGCAGTTAAAATTTTGCAACAGCAATAGATAGTATTATTTAAGAAACGACTGCATAAAAATTGTAAGCTTAAAAAATATTTATATATATATAAGGAATAAATTTAAAATTGGAAGTTATTCGGCTCTACGGCGAAGTAACCAAAAGAATCTTACTGCTGCATTTCAGCCTGAACTTGGAAAGACTACAAAGCAATAAAACAATAAATAAAAAATAATACCCATCTTAAAATGTAGACCTTTTCGCGCATGATTTATGCTAACTATTTTGAACCCTAAATTTGATGCACTATTTCACCCAGCTTCAATAGTAAATTGCAGTTGGCAGAATTCATTCATTACTTATTAGCAAAAGTGATGAAAATTTGGTACAAAACCATTAAGAAATATGAGAAGCGAAACAAATAAAATAAGCTCTCCGTTTAATCGAACAAAAAAAGTAACGAAAGTGTCAGCGTTTTCACTTTGGCAGCAAAGTCTGAAGATGTCACGCAGCAATTTTACAGTATAAGCACACAGCTTTTTTTATATCTTCACTTACAACGTACAACTTTAAGATTATATTTTTCCGGCTTTGAAAATTATAATTCCCTTAATATTACTTCATAAAGGAAAAATACACAGATTTAAAATTCTCCAGAGACGACACAACATATATTGAAGTAGCGTACAATCCAAAAAAATAGCAAATGCATTAGTATCGCCCACTTTGCATTGCGTGATTCATTGCCTGTGTAGTAGCTGCTGATGCGGCTGCTCGAGCTGCCCCTGATACAGCCTAAATTAAACGGAAGTTATGAAAGAACTATCCACTTTTCCTTTTATCATTAAAATTTCCGATTTCTGAAAAAACATTCATACAGTCTAAACAACCATCTTTTTTCATGGTCCGTACGGCTTTATATGATTTAATAGTGCTTTTTATATGATTTTTTATATATGATTTTACATTTATATGATTTAATAGTAAAGTGTTTTCCAATATTACGTCAAATAATTTGTGATATGCTAACAAAATATCATATAAACTCATCATTATTGAGTTCTCCCCTCCCCACCATTCACTCCAATTTATGAAACAGTTGGTTCGTTTATATTAAATTATGAAAGAAAATTCCTGATTCTGCGTTCATGTAACATATGTGCTATGAATATTTTGTATCTTTCGAACTAAATTTTCCGGCATTTGCCAAAAAAAGGCATGTGGTACATATAAATCAAGAACCACCTGCTGAACGTTTCGATCGGCCATAACACCATCAGAGAATTCTTTACGTGCTTTGTCCAAACTGAAACCAGCACCACGATAGAAGCGATGGACTCTGAACAATGCAAACACCATTCCAACAAATGCAGCCGTGAATGCAATCGCCGATATAATCATTATCAGCGATGCGAATATGCTGTGGCTGGAATGAATCATCATAAGGACACATTAAAAAAATGAAAAAAAAAAAATGGGAACTTTATATTCTCATTTCAGACATAGCTACCATAATATATTTATTATCATCAATAAGTCGTATTTAAATCAATTTTTTCCTACAAATAAGTGAAATACTAAGATTTATAAATAAATACAATGATCCTTGTATTAATTTGCAGAAAAAATTCGTTCAATGAATATTTTGAATTAAAACGAAGCATATATGAAAATTTACTGGAATGTATTAATAGCATTAATCCAACCACAAGCATACTGTGACAAGCCAAGCGCTTGCACCAGTGTGAATATTGAGTGAAAGAAAAGAACGAGGAAAAACAGCATGAAGTTAAATGAGCTGTCATTCCTGAAATGAGATTAAAATCTTAAGATTTTCCTAGGAGATATATGCTTTATCAGTCCTTGAATAAACATATTGCAATTTTTAGGTAAAATTTTGTGATTTTTCTGTGACTAGGAAACTGATCGCTACTGTATGCGCAACTACATCAAAACATTGTTATAAACGCATTAATACTTCTGCCTTTTTTTATGAATTTTCAATTTAAAACAAACTTTATTTGCCCCACTATTTTATGCTTAATTTCTTGAATTTAAGCATTATTTTCAAAATGTAATCACTTCAAAGCAAGTAAAAAATAACATAACAAACCTGAATGCTTTGTAAACAGGACGAAACCAGAACAAAAACGAACAGGAGGACAGCAACAAAATTTGTATAATAGCAAGGACCAATATGCCAATGGGCCCACTACCAAAAATGACGTAAAAAAAAGAGGCAATGACATTAATTGCCAAAGCCAATAAATAGGTCAAGAAAACATAATAAACTAAAGTGACTGTGCGTTGAAACTGTACCGGAATCTCTACTTCGATATCCTGAAATGACAATAGGTTTCACTTTTTTCCACTTTATTTAATTTTATATATATATATATATATAAAGATGAAGATTTTCCATATACAATTTTACAAAACATTTGTTTCGAAAAGTATTTGAAGAATTAACATTCTGCTAAATAATTGAACCAAAGAGACTTATATTCTTTTCCGCTCACCACACATGAATAAAACAAAGTTGATGAAATAATATGCATTGATAAAACTTGAAATAACCTTGCAATTCGAGGAAAAATTTGGATATTTTCTTGAATATTCATTCCAAAAATACTAAAAATACCTGATAAAAACATGGTTGCAGTGGGATAAAGGATGGGAGTGGTGGCCAATTATGAGGCCGGGTGTTTCCTGTGGAAACACCAGCTCGCTGCTGTCGTTCTAATTCTTGCTCTCTCCTACGCAACTCTTGCGCTTTTCGTTCCAATTCCTCTTGACGTCGAAACAGCTCATCATTGCTCATTACTGGCGCCGAGATTTTTGCTGGAGCCGCTCCTGTTCCGGGCTAAAATTCAAAACATTATTGGAACATTAGAAAATTGGAATAAGCAATCAACAATTGAAATTTATTTAATTGAAATTTATTTGATCGTAATTCATCTTATTTTCATCTGTTGCAATTTCAGTGTGTTATTGCGAGACTGAATTATATTTTTTCGTATCCATAGGACGGGCATTTCACTATCAAAAGCATAGTAAACAATATGGTAACACAAAGTATTACTTTCTACCGATCAATAATACTTAGAATAACTGTTTTAAATATAATTTTTTATTACTTAATATAATTTTTTTTTCAAGATTCTTTTCTTACAAAATAATTTTCAAGATTCTTTTCTTACATTATCGAATTCCTACAAATAAATAATAAAGCTGGAGATTGAACAGGAAGAGGAAGGAATTTATGAAAACAAACCAAGTTTTGCATGTCTGAAATTGAAACATTATTATATACTGTCCTCATCTCTCTGAGTGTTACTTCACTTTTGGAATCTTATTTCGCATATAAGCGTTATACGAACATTTGTCATACCAATAGATTTGCTATGCACAAAACTTTAATGATTTAAAGTAGAAATTCGATCGATGTTCACATTACAAAAAAATTTTAAGATTATGCAATATTAGACAATGTTCATATTCATTCAAAGAGACAAATTTTCCTAGATTTCGTGATGTTGAGCAATTAGGACATTATTCTTACTGCAAGAAATAATCTTTTTTCACAAATTTCATAAAGTTCTCTTCCAAATCTCTTCAACTCTTTAGCAGTTATTTAAATATATTGATAACGTCATGTCAGTATCTTTTAAGTGAGAAGACAAATTGGTTAATAAAAGAACTTGAATTTGTTCGAAAAAGAAGTAATGTTAAAAAAATTTCACGGATAAAGAAGAAGCAAAAATGAGAGTAAGAGAGATGGAATGTAACAGGACTATCATACAAACTATCGATTAATCAATAACTTGTGCGCTGGGAAAAGACCTGAATTAAATATAATTCGGGCATTTTATTCAAATCAAGAGATGGAATGTAACAGGACTATCATACAAGTGTTCAAGAAGTCATGACTAATGATTATGAAAATTTTTTACAGTGAACTAAAGAAACAAAAACAAAAAATATGACTGATTAAAAATCTTTTTAAAAGTAACACTCAAAAAGTTTGCAAAACAATAACAGAAAAATTAACGATGAAAAACAGCGACAATTACACAAACTATATTCCACAATAAACAATTTTAAGCTTGTAACAGTTCCCCTTCAGTCTGTAGACTTAATGCAAGATATCAATCTGTTGGAGAAAAAATCACATTTTGTCTATGTAAAACTCGCTTTAACAATACTGTTTGCACGAGTTGTCAAAATATCTTGCATAACTTGCTTAATTTCACAGCAGTATTTTTGTTTAAGCCTCCTTATTTTCATCCAGCTGTTTTAATGTATGAAGATCAACTATAATCAGAGCAAGACTTTTTTCTTAAATTAAAATCATTTCTTATAAAAATAATAGCATCGTAATTTGAAATCGAGAACTTAGTGAATCATTTTTGTATGGAAGCACTGACAAACAAATAAATGCATTTCGTTTACCTGTGTGGGAAGCCTCGAAGGAGCAGATTGAGCATTTCGAGCAAATGGATTGAAATCTTCGTTGGGATCTGTTGTCCCCCCGCCAACAGCTTGTTGCACACTCGGGTCCTAAATATATGCATAAAACGGTAGTCATTAATGTTAGATGAAAACTTTAAAATCGTTACAAGCCAACAAAATTTCAATCTTCAAATAAAAATAGTTGGCTGTAATATGAATTCAAAAGGAAGAGATACAATAAATATTGCATAATATGATATCTTCCATTTCCCTTTCTTTTAGAACAATTAGAAATGATGAACTAAGTACTATCTCCAACAGTTTCTGCTAGACAAGTGTCTGAAATCACTTATAAATGAATTAACCAAATTTTTGTTGCGCTTCCAAATTTGAAACTTTGTTAACATACCGTAAATGGATCCGCGAATGGATTCGAATTTAATCCTGCCATTAGTTATTAACCGCTCTCACTTAATCTACCCTGTCCTGTGCACCACAGTACAAATGAATTATTCTGTAACAAAAAAATATAAACATATTTGTTGGAGATTTTGAATAATTAATTATTTATCTGGTAAAAGACCTGAATTAAATATAATTTGGGCATTTTACTCAAATCATACCAGTGTTCAGGAAGCCAAACTGACTAGAGATTATGAAAATTTTTTTACAGCGAACTAAAGAAACAGAAATAAAAAATATGACTGATTAAAAATCTTTTTCAAAGTAACACTCATGGTTACTAACAAATAAAATACAAAACAAAAGAAATAACGGAAAAATTAAAGCTGAAAAACAGCGACGATTACACAAACTGTAACCACAACAAGCAATTTTAAGCAGAAAAACATAATATATATGCGCAAAAAAAGCACTGTATATATGTATTGATGGTTATTATATGTCGCTGTGAGTCAGTCGAACAACATATCTAACAACTAAATCAATCAGTCGTTTATTGGTTTTACAAATCCCCTGTTCTATAGTTTTTTAAACTGCCTTGCTAAGCAAAATTTAAGAGTCTGGAAAGAAGGACCGAACCAGAATTAATAAATCAAAGTCCAACTCACACATCCCCCGACCTCACCTCACCATTTCTCCCTGCCAACAAGGACCTCTCGTAACGCGTTCATGAGACTTCTTCGTCGCGATATGCAAATGTTTGTGTCATCATGACAGTACCATCATTATATACGCTACTTCAGTACTGTCACAGTTAATGTCATCATGCATAATTCCGATTTATTTCAGAATTAATCAGGAACTATAAATTCCAGCAGAGAGAACATTCACCCCAAGTGAAGAGGAAGAATTACAAACAATCGCATCAGTAATTCCTTTTCTGACTGACACTTTCCTCGTTTCATTGAAATCCACCCATTATCCTGTACTTTTCTACTATTGTATGGCAAGAGCTTCGACATGATTGATAAATATATTTGAACATAAAGTAGTTATCACTGCTCATCACTGAAATTTCATCCAGTTTGAGAAAGACATAAACTACTTTGTTCTTCTCTCCAATGATGATAATAATGTTGTGTCATTTCATTTTCACTGGAATTGAAATAATTCTTTGTGTAATCTTGCTTTTGTCCACAAGTAATTTTACAGTGTCTAAAATGATAAGGTATGATTAAATCAATCGTGAACATTGATATGATATCGTTTAAGATTGCATCTTATTACAGTGAAGAATTGAAAGGAACAGGAACAACATATTTTATTTTTCGAGGAATAAAAATGTTATTCAATGTATCATTGAAACATAAGCAAACAAGATACGGTTGGAACATGGAGGATTATAGAATTTTTAATCTCGAGTTTAAGGTACTCTATCATTTTTCATTTAAAAGAAAAGAAAAAAGGAAAGTGGGTACTGTGTTATTCTAAATCTAATGTACTTTGGAAAGCGTTAATGAGCGCAATTAGATGCATTCTACGGAACAGCATGATATAGCACATGGTTTATTGTCACATGGTTGTCAAAAACTAAAGCCCGAACTTTGACATTTCCAAATTTCACTCCATCGTGTCTGAGCTTGGTTAAGAATCGAATATCAGTAGAAGTAATCTGGTGCTTCCTCCACACCTCTCTTTCCGAATTGTAGCGGTCGAAAGCTTTTTTTACCAAACTGTAGTGGTCGATGGCCATCTCGTTTACCGAACTGTAAAATTTGTTTGTATAGTGATTATATCTATCGTATTCTTTGTATTGCCAATTCTTCCTTAAATCCAAAAAATTAGTTTTTACTCTTTAGGCAGAAGTCGCATATTGTTAACTTTAATCGTATCGAAGCAATATTGCTTATCCTTACTTCTACTTCTTTAAGAATGTAATTGAAATTGTTTCAAAAGAGAACTAAAGAATTATATTGTTTTAATGTTAAATTAAATTATCATTCTAAACGAAAAAACCAATTTCATAGGATATTGATCTGGTCCAATGAAGAAACTTAGTGCTAATAAATTCCATTCCGACAGAAGATGAAGTAGCATTAGACCCAATTCTATTATTGTTCATACTTATCACCATTACTTTCTAAAATGTTGGTACAGAGTGCTAACAAATCTATCGAAAAAATTCGTATGACATAGTGAAGTTCGCTTTTTTAGATAATAAATCAGTTTCACATATTTTTGTGCCAAAATTTTATTTGCTGAAGAAGTATTTATAAAAAACAATCATCCAATTATTTGTTCTATCAATTTATTGGACAATTATCCTCAATGGAAATACTATGTTTACAATTTAAATTTGGTGTGTATGAAACTCTGTTAATCAATGTTGAGCAATTAAAGGATTGAAATTACTGTCAACTAATACTGATGAAGACAATTAAAATGAAGTATGCTAAAAATAGGACAAATTCTCAAAGCGAGTGAAAAAAACAAGCTTAACTAGATGAGTTAATGAAAATACATTCTTAGTACTCTTTGAAGGAAATTATAGGAGTGCTGTAAACTGTTTGAAAATTATATTTGTTAATATTTAATTTTTAATTTTCGAATAATTTTCAAGTTTCAGCTAAAAGTAAAAGGAGATCTTTTCTTTTTTTATTTTCGATGGAAAAGCTTTCTGATTTCATTCTAGTTTTCTGACAGAACTAGTGGAATATTCGAGTTTTGATTTCCTAATGAAATTATTAAAAAAAAAATCCTAAGAAATTCCAAGATTTTACCCTTTTAATTCAAAACATTGCAACTGTCCTGTTTATATTGGGAGTTCTAAATCCAGGTAAAATGAAGAATAAAAATGAATTACTTGATTAAATTCACTATGAAGATCAAGAGTACCACAATTAGCATGAAAGATGGAATAAAGTACTGGTACTATTAATTAGAGGGATAAAATCTGAGTGTTATCATTCTATGAGCTTAAAGATTGCTGTATAATTTGGTTGAAAAAAAAATTTCATACCAAATATTTTTTGGTATGTTTAGGATTTTCTATATCAAATACGGATTGTTGTTGCAATATCATCCGGATCATCGTTGTAATAATATCATATATATCATAATTTAATTTAAGCAAGTAGTATTTTGCTGAAAGTGACGATGTTGTTAATTTAGATGCTTTTTGCTATTTTTGTTCGAGACAAAGTTTCACATTTCTTTTAGAACAGACCCGTCTAATAATATTTATCATCAATGACATCTTTGCTATCTTCCCTTCATCCGTATTAGATAATAACAGTAAATGCACTTATACGACAGTACCAAAATGTGGCAACAATGTTACGATAATGTCACCAAAACTTTCCTCCTTTTCAAAGTTATTTCAAAAAATCCTTATTTCCCAGATTACATTTCTACTTTTCAATATATTTTCCTCATCTTCCATATTTTTCTGCAACTCTCTTTAGAGGTTTCTCTTTTTTATCGAGTTTTTGTTTCAATCAATTCTATATTATTTACAACCATGTTTTCTCTCTTCTTTTGTAATTAGTGAAAAGAGTACGAAATTTTCCAATGCACTAAAATGAAGTCTTAATCCGAGAGTTCCTGATCTAATCTGAAAGATAGCTCTTGGATATAAATCGCATGCTCTTTTTATTTGTAAGCAAATAAGAAATTTAGAAATCTATCTGATGGTTGTTTGAGAATTCATTTACAGGCCATTGCAAAGTTTTTTGGAAGATGGCATTTTCTGGATGAGAATTTTGGTAAAAATTAACAATGTTAGGGATTTTTGGCAGCCAAAAAGAACGAAATTTTGAAACATTGTTTTTTTAGAGTGCGAAAAATGGTTCTAATAATGGTTCTAATTTAGATTGCATTTTTAAAATGATAATTTGATCAAATTCAGTTTAAAAATAAAAAAACTAATCATTAGGAAGAAAGAGAATTAGAGAGATCGAAAGAGAGGGAAAGAGTGAGAACTAACTTGCAATGGTCGATAGTCTCTGTCTTGCCTGTCGAATCGATCAGACTGTAAATTGCAATTCGCAGAAATACTGATGAAACCAAGAATGAAAAGTATTGAAGTAATCCAACAGTGAAGCATTTCCTTTTCCAAGACGAGATCTTTTGACCAGCGAAATAGACGCCAAATATGCTGCAACAACACAAAATGGCTTCAATTTTTCTTTGTAATTATATGACAGGAACGGATGATACACTGCACGAATAACAAAGTTAACTCAATGGTAATCAGATCTAAAAACCCTATTATAGTAGTAATGTGGAATCTGACTGGCAAATAAATTTACTTTACGAGTCCCATGAGGAACAGATCTCATTATCAACCATTGGAATGTCATTTCATTAATTCCGAAGGCCTGTCGTATCACACCTACAAAGTAGCGTAACATGTGGGAGAAATAGACTAAGCATTTAAAAATTAAAACATTCACACATTTGTAATCTCAAAATCATTTCTCTCATTTAATTTAAATTCATCAGGCATTAACAACGAAACATATCTTCAGCATTTTCAATTAATTAATAATGCAAAACCATTTTGGGTTAATTTTACATATACTAACATCTGAATTTAATTTGCATTAGCGAATTGAAAAATTGTAAAATGAGCGAAAAATATTTGCTGAAGTCACAGCTGACATTAAGAATAAATAGGGAAATATTTCAAAATTGTGGCTGGTGAAATGATTTGTTATCAGACCTAAATTTTAGCGTTAAATTAATTACTTTTTCTTAATTTAGATAGAAACCAACAGTGTACTATAAATTTATCAGTTAAATTCTCCATCGTCCATCAAGTCGAAATTTTCACAAATTGTTTTTTAATTCTTTATTCATCCCAAAGAAAAAATTTAGGAATAGAAGAAACTAGATAATGTATAAACTAAGTGGTTTCAAAAATGGAAAATATATCAAAGAATGAAAGGTTAATTGATTGAAAAAGATATCTCATCCATTAATGTAATCTGATGAGAAGAAAAGAGTGGATCATCTCAGTTAGCTTGAAATTAGAGGGAAAAAATACTG